AGAAGAATATAGATAGACTTAAATGATGGAAGATATCACTGAAGCATGCAAGCAAAGTCAAGTTGGACGAAGCAATTATTTTCAAATTTACTAGAACCTTAACTTAAAGAGACTAAACAAAGAGAGCAAGGTGAAATGATGGATGCAATAGAGGCAGAAGATGAAGGAAAGTGGAGGAATGTGGCATTATATAGAACGGAGGCAGGCATGGAGGGATTTAGCCTTGACATTAGTTGCAGGTATTCTGCTCAAAGAGAAAGCATAAAAAAATCCTAAAACCAAGGAAAGGGTAGAAGTCAAACTACTGATCATTAGCTAAGCAGTAAATAACCACTAAGACAGAGGCAGGGAAAATACGCCCCTGGCCAGGCCATTCTATCCAGCCCGCGGAACACCCCAAAAAAAAAAATCAGAAAAGTAATATTTATCTGCTCCTGGCTCCCTGTCAAAGATGACAGTTACCCAGGGTGGTAGGACCCAGGTGAAGCCAGCAGGACCCAGGAGCAAGGCCGGCCCAGCCCTCCCCCCCAACAAGAAGCCTCTGCCTGCCGTAGCTTTCACTGCTTCCTTGCCTGCATGCCCACCTGCGGCTCCAGCACAACATGACCCCCCCGCTGCATTGCCAGACCATGGAAGCACAGGGCTGGAAGCAGGAGGTTGTGGGGGGTGTGTGTGTGTGTGTGTGTGTGTGTGTGTGTGTGTGTGTGTGTGTGTCCATGCAATAAGAGGGAGAGACAGAGAGACAGGCACAGGTGTGTGTGTGGGGGAGGGTATGAAAAGAGTAAGCACTCAAACAATAAAGAAATTATTTCAAATAATACAAATAAGATTAATGAGAAGTAACAGGATGAAATTATTAAGGGGAAAATATATGACCATATTGTCTCACATATAACACACACACCTTTTCTCCAAAACCCAGCTCATAGAAATTAGTGTGTGCATTATATTCAAGGAAATATAGTAAGAGCAGGGTATGTCAGTAGTGCTCAAAAGGTCCTGCAGGCCACATCTGGCCTGCAGAGCCAAGCCATCCAGCCCATGGGGCTACCTCTGACCCAAGAAATTTGGAAGCAGGGGAGCAATTTCAGCATTAATTGCCATGGCTCTGGGAGCCACAGCAAGTAATGCTCTTACTGCTCCCACACTGTCAAACTTTTAGACATGTGGGGAGCCTCCTGGCATACAACTTGGCCTTGGACACTGCCTCAGACCTGGTATATGGAGCTGGCAGCAAGCACAGGAGCAGGCTCAGCTCCTTAGCTACTGCTACTCAGTTACTACAAGGAACAATCTATTTTTCTTCATGCTGCTTTTAAAAAAGCAAGATGTGCATTATATACAGGGGCATGCTGCATGTGAGAAAATATGGTAATACCAAGATATCTTATTAACAACAGATGCCTGAAGTTAAGAAGTAGTTTTGCAAAGGACATTTAAAACCCAGTAGCACATTCTAATTATGATTTTAAAGTACTAGCAATTTTAATCCATTCCAAAGAGCTAAATCTGTCAAGTTATTAACAAGAGCCCCACTTTTTATTCTCAAAAAATCCCACCAGGCACATAACTACTGTTTTATTCATAATCTACTGACTGCATGCGGGTAAAAAAACAAACAAACAAACAAACATAAGAAAATCCTAAAACGTCATGACCCAGTAGTAGATCAGGTAAAGAAAGAGATAGCAACAGAGCACCCAGGAGTGTCCCCACAAATCTTTTCTTTAAATTCAATTTAAAATATGTGAAGACTACAATGACTTACCTTTTACTATCATTTTACAACAAGTATACCTTAGTTATTATAACGAATACAGCTCCCTCTTGTGGCTGCAAGTGGAACTCATGCAATGAAATGAAAGTAGAGATAGTACAAAATCACAATCATAGAGGTTTAAAAAGACAAATACTGTAAGTAGTTTTCTTTACCACTGTTTTTACATTGGCTCTACTCTTGCACAAAGGGCTCCAGAACTAGATTACTTTCTCCTTTTCAGCAGTTGGTGTGTGCTCTTCCTGGATGGAATGGAAAGTAAAGAAGCCAGAGGCTGGGCTGGTGTGCATACAAGACAGGTAGTCAGTGAAAATGTAGACTGAGGAGTCAATGGGTG